GTTTAATACCTAATTAATTTTTTATTTGAATTTTACATAACGATTTCTGTATAGTGGAAAAATTTGTTTGTAAAAAAAGTGTTTTTTTTCTATTTTTTGTATTTTCTATACAGATTGCGACCAAAAAACACGAAACACGTTTCTGTTTAGTGAAAAATTTTGTTCATTAATGTTTTTTTTTCTATTTTGGACAAATGTGAATAGCTTTAATACCCGAGACATGTGGGCGAGTAGTTGAAATTTTTTTTTGAGGACTCGCCAGTTATTTTGGCTTATTTTTAATGAAAATCTTAATTATTTAATAAAATTTTGTTTTAATGATGTAGAAATGTACCATTTTTCTTTATTTTTTAATCAGAATTAATGACTTAAAATTTTTTTTACAATTAATGCAAGAAACTCTAAATTCAAGCCTATTTTGCTTATTTTCAGAATTGTAGTTTAAACTTAGATTTTCGTATTTTTTATAATAATTAATTTTTTATTTGAATTTTACATAAATTTGTTTGTCAAAAAGTGTTTTTTTTTTCTATTTTGGACAAATGTGAATGTATAAATTTTTCGAAAACCTGTTCCCCTTTAGCTTTAATACCCGAGACATGTGGGCGAGTATTTAAAATATATATTTTTTTGTTGTTGTAGACTCGTCAGCCGTCGCTGTACAACCAAAGCGTGTACAACCCCTACCCCCAATACACCCAACAGAAGACCCAACAACAGGGTTCCCTCACCGCCGCCAACAACTTCCCCATCCACCCCGACGTGAAATTCCGTCGTCTCCCCTTCTTCGACATCATCTCCGATCTCCTCAAACCCTCAACCCTAATGCCACAAAGCAATCAACGTATGCAAGAAGCCACCTTTTATTTCCATTTAACCCCACAACAAGCCACCGATATAGCCAGTTCACGTGACATACGTCCAGGTGTCAAATGCGATTACGTCAAACAAGTACAATTGAGATTCTGTCTCTTGGAAACGACATGTGAACAAGATGATTTTTTTCCACCAAATGTCATCGTTAAAGTTAATAATAAACCATGTCCATTACCAAATCCAATACCAACAAATAAGCCAGGTGTTGAACCAAAACGACCACCAAGACCGGTTAATATAACACCAATGGTCAAATTAAGTCCCATCGTGGCCAATATGATTACGGTTTCATGGGCGCCGGATTATGGACGTGGATATGCCATTTCAGTGGCGTTGGTACAAAAATTAACCTCGTCGGATTTGTTGAATCGGTTGAAGGCCAAAGGGCCCAAACATTCGGATTATACACGCGGGTTAAGTAAGTGATTTTTTCTACAAAACTATATATAAATATTATATAGGGTGTCTCGGCGAGTTGACCTTCAAATGGTAAAATTAAAAATAAAACATACAGGGTGGTCCTAAAGTGGCTATTAAAATGTTATTCAAAAAAAAATTGAAAACCTACCACAATTTTTTGAAATTTTAAATCCTAAGACTTCGAGTTTCATAATTTTGGAAAAAAATCGAAAATAATTAAAATCTAACTCAGAAACTGCGTAAAAACTGAAAAAAATTCAGCTTTTTCCATTACATAAATTTCGGTGGTTTGAGAATTCTATTCTACCAAAATTGCGAGGATTTTAATTTTCGAAATACTAAGTTTGACATAAGACACTAAATTTTGACCCCAAGATTTCGATTTTAAATTTTAATTTTAAATCCTAATACTTCAAGTTTCATAATTTTGAAAAAAAATTCTACAGAAATAACAATAAAAAACACAATAATTTTGTTACATTTTGTTTAATTTGAACCTCTTTGATGAGTGTTATAGTGTTAGACAAAAAAATAGGATAAACCCTTGAATATACAGGGTGGTCCAAAATTCTGGAAACGATTTTATTCTGGCGAAACTATGATTTTTTTGGCAAATAAATTTATAAGTGTGCAATGGCTAAAAAAATGCTATTCAAAAAAAAAAAATTGAAATTTAGAATCCTAAAACTTTGAGTTTTATAATTTTGGAAAAAATTCGAAAATAATTAAAATCTAACTCAGAAACTGCGTAAAAACTGGAAAAAAAATTCAGCTTTTTGGTTTTCATTCTTATTAAAAAGCGAAAAGCTTGATTTATTACAGATTAAAAAAAAGTGAGGAACATTTGTTAAAATAACCTGAAAAAAAAACTGAAAAATTTTGAAAAAAGGGAAATAAAATCATTAAATATAGAAACTCACAAATTTTAAGTTTTTTTAATACAGGAAAAATACAGATTATGAAATTCTAAACCATGAAGAATCAGAGGTTTAAAATTTTTTGTGATTGAAAAAATTTTAACGTTCCATTTCATAAATTTCGGTGGTTTGAGAATTCTATTCTTCCAAAATTGCGAGGATTTTAATTTTCGAAATACTAAGACACTAAATTTTGACCCCAAGATTTCGATTTTAATTGAATTTTATTTTTTTTAATTGTATGTGTGCACTATATAATTTAATTTTCTTTTTGAAATTTTAATTCCTAATACTTCAAGTTTCATAATTTTGAAAAAAAAATTCTACAGAAATAACACAATAAAAATACAATAATTTTGTTACATTTTGTTTAATTTGAACCTCTTTGATGAGTGTTAGCATTTAGACAAAAAATAGGATAAACCCTTGAATATACAGGCTGGTCCAAAAGTCTGGAAACGATTTTATT